GACTGGGCAACAATGGCAGATGAAATTCAATGTTGATAAATGCAAAGTAATGAACATTGGAAAACATAATCCTAACTATACATCTAAAATGATGGGGTCTAAATTAGCTGTAACCACTCAAGAAAGAGATCTTAGAGTCATTGTGGACAGTTCTCTGAAAACATCCACTCCATGTGCAGTGGCAGTCAAAAATGCAAACAGAATGTTGGGAATCATTAATAAAGGGATAGATAATACGACAGAAAATATCATATTGCCTCTATATAAATCCATGGTATGCCCACATCTTGAATACTGCGTGCGGATGTGGTGGCCCCATCTCAAAAAAGATATATTGGAATTGGAAAAGGTTCAGAAAAGGGCAACAAAAATGATTAGGGGTATGGAACAGCTTCCATAGGAGGAGATATTAAGCAGACTGGGACTTGTCAGCTTGGTAAAGAGACGACTACGGGGGGGGAGTATGATAGAGGTCTATAAAATCATGACTGGTGTAGAGAAAGTAAATAAGGAAGTATCATTTACTCCTTCTCATAACACAAGAACTACAGGGTCACAGAATGAAATTAATAGGTAGCAGGTTTAAAACAAACAAAAGGAAGTATTTTTTCACACAGTGCACAGTCAAACTGTGGAACTCCTTGCCAGAGGATGTTGTGAAGGCCAAGACTATAACAGGGTTCAAAAAAAGAACTAGATAAATTCATGGAGGATAGGTCCATCAATGGCTATTAGCCAGGATGGGCAGGGATGGTGTCCCTAGCCTCTGTTTGCCAGAAGCTGGGAATGGGCGACGGGGGATGGATCACTTGATGATTCCTTGTTCTGTTCATTCCCGCTGGGGCATCTGGCATTGGCCACTGTTGGAAGACAGGATATTGGGCTAGATGGACCTTTGGTCTGACCCAGTATGGCCGTTCTTATGAGTGAACCCAAACCTTTGGCATTTGTGAAGGTCTCCATCCCTGAATGCCACGTCTCCACGCCCCGCCGGCCCAGGCTCACCCTGCTATCAGTGGTGAGCACATTGCCGCTCCCAGGCACTGAGGCGCAATGACATTCGCATGCCAAGCCTGGGCTTTGCAGAGCCCGGTGCAAAGGAAAGGGTGAGGGGGCCTCGAGCAGACTGGGACTGCTTGGCAGGGGGAGGATGCTCATTAGGGAGATGGGAAGGAGGGGGGGACAGGGCACTTGTCATGTCTGTGGTAGTGTCACAAGCAGGGAGCAGACGGACAGGGAAGATTTCAGCCCCTGGGAGGGGGTTGGGACTGCGCAGTTCAAAGGAGGGGGAGTCAGGCCATGGAGAGGGGGATGAGCTACATTGCATGCTGGGACGAATGCTGACAAAACAAAGGCCTGCCACAGTGTGGCTGCACAATTAGGGTATCTATCTAGGGCTGGCCCTGTTAGCTGAGAAATCCCCAGGGAGCTCCTTCTTCTCTCGGCAGCATCCTCTCCTCACTGACTTTCAAAGCACGCTGCTTTGGTGTCTTCAAACAGCTCTGAGCTGAAAGCAGCTGGGGTGGTTTCACGCCCCTCCTCTTCCCCCAACCAGATGTATTTTCTTTCTGCTGTTTTGCCCTTTATTGATGGTGTGCAGAGCTCTGCTTTCACTAAGGGCAACTGAAATGCTGCTCCTGACTGCGATTTTGGAGGTGCCAGCTGATCAATAGGATAGCGCCAACGTGGTCCGTGAAATCGCCGGCTCTGCACTGGGCCATGTTGTGCAGGATCTAAGCCGGCAGCTCAGCGATCCAATCAGACCTCTCTCCCCAAGGACCTACTTCATGGGGCAACGGCTGCCTGCAAAACTTGTTGTTACTTGTTTGTTTGCTGGTTAGTTAAATAGGTTCGTTGGGGACCGAGTCTGATCTCACTGACGACAGTGTGAATCCAGAGTAACTCCATGGAAGCTACTGGAGACAACTCGAGTTATGTTGCTGCTGCTAAGAGCGGAATTCATCCGTTAGATAGTTGTGTAGAAGCAAATTCTACCCTGCCTTGTATCCCTGGCCCCCTCTCTGTAAGCAGTGGGGTTGCTTAGGGCAGAAGTTATCATTTGGAGTTCCAGGGGGAGGGATAGCTCAGTGGTTTGAGCATTGGCCTGCTAAACCCAGCGTTGTGAGCTCAGTCCTTGAGAGGACCATTTTAGGGATCTGAGGCAAAAATCTGTCTGGGGACTGGTCCTGGGGGTTGGACTAGATGACCTCCTGAGGTCCCTTCCAACCCTGATATTCTATGATTCTATGATGTTTCAGAGGAAGGAACAAACAACTAACCCTTAATGTACCTATTCAACTGTACAATCCTTTGGAGTGGTGGGAGATTCCTTTTGAACGCCCCCCGCCGATCAGTGCGTGCTCTGCACTCTGGAGCAATCGAACTGGGATTCCTGGTAACTTTGGCCAGGTCTACACTACCGCGGTAGTTCGACGGCTGGCAATCGAACTTCCGGGTTCGATTTATCGCGTCTGGTCTGGACGCGATAATTCGAACCAGGAAGTGCTCGCCATCGACTACGGTACTCCACCTCAGCGAGAGGAGTACTGCGGAGTCGACGGGGGAGCCTGCCTGCCGCGTGTGGACCGTGTCTGAACCGCGGTAAATTCGAACTAAGGTATGTCGACTTCAGCTACGTTATTCACGTAGCTGAAGTTGCGTACTTTAGATCGAATTGGGGTGTTAGTGTAGACCAGGCCTTTGTGACTTGGTTTCTGCATCGGACAAGGTTCTTCTTGGAGGTCA